GGCTCTGTGCCAGGGCTGGGAGGGACAAAGATTAGTAAATTTGTCTGCCCTTGGGGTGCTCAAAGTCTAATGTAGGCCTCCTCGTTATTCAGAGGCTAAGGGACCAGAAGGTGCCAGGTGCACAGGGAACTCAGAGGACAATGTTGGATTTTATGGAGGGGGACATACTTCAGGTTTTAAGTGCAGATATACTTTTTTGTTTTGTTTAAAATTATTTAAAATTTGACCAAGATGAGACTAACCATAGAGAAACCTGGTGGACAGTCTAAAGACCAGGTAATTGCTTTCTGAATACTTGTTAACAGACTGCTGGAAGGAAATGGAGTCCCAAGAGCTTTTATAATTTTCTAAAGTTTTGTTTTGTTTTCCTTTAAGGACAAGTCCATTTTTAATGTTCTCACATGAGGAACTTATAACACTGTACATTAGGTGGGGGAAAAAAACAAATTAAGGGATAAATGGAACATATTTGAGTGAAATATTTAAAATCTTAAAAAACTGTGTGATAATCAGTTTGGCAATAAAGACCATATAGACACATGGAAAATGTATCGAAACAATATTTTAAAAATGAAATAGATACATTATGGTGACAGCTGAGTAAAAACTACAGAAGTCATGACCAACTACTGGATAGGTCAGCGGACTGTGATAGTGCTCAGGGGTGATGTTTTGTTTATTTTCCTGTAAACCAGCCTTCATAGTTAGTGAAAGTAACAGATCAACAGGGTAAGGTATCCCATATTTGTTCTTCTTCATATTCTAACAAAGCTATATATATATATATAGTGTGTGTGTGTGTGTAGCACAAGGTTTCTTAACTGCAGCGCTGACATTTTGGACTGGGTAGTTTTCTGATGTATGAGACTGTCATGTACATCGTAAAATGTTTACTAATATCCTGTCCTCTACCCACTAGATGACAGTAGTCCCCCCTTTTCTCTCAGTCTTGGCAATCAAAAATTGCCCCCAGCTGATTTTCCCTGCTTCTGTTTCTCTCCATTCTTTTCTTAAAAAAAAACAACCCCCCGCCCCCAAAACCCTGGCTGGTGTGGTTCAGTTGGTTGGAGTGTCCTCCCGTGTACCGAAAGGTGGTGGGTTCGATTTCTGGTCAGGCTACAAGCCCAGGTTTCAGATTTGATTCCCAGTCAGAGCATATTTGGGAGGGGACTGATCGATGTTTCTCTCTTTCTCTAAAAAAATAAAAATAAATAAAAAAGAAAAAAAAATGGCCCTGAGGTTGAGATCCATTGCTTTGAGGCTACCTTTTTAAAAAGAAGTTTATAAGAGTTTTTCTGTTAAAAGTTATTCATAGAAAACCTTTGTTGCGTGCCCAATATATACATTTATTCCAATTCAGCTGGCATTTATTGGTTGTTTAGTTATTATTCTTTTCAACACCAGTAATCATTGCCAGTGACAGCAAGGACGATGGGTTTCACACTTAAAAAAAAAACACCTGGTTTAAAATTGATTTCAGAGAGGAAGGGAAAGGGAGAGAGATATAGAAACATCAGTGATGAGAGAGAATCATCGATCAGCTGCCTCCTGCATGCCCCTCACTGGGGATTGAGTCCGAAACCTGGGCATGTGTCCTGACCAGGAATTGAACTGTGAACTGGTTCATGGGTCAACACTCAACCACTGCGCCACACCCGCTGGGCTGGCTTCACACTTTTAAGGAGGAATGCTTAGTTTTAGTTCCTGAACTATTTGTCATTCCAGTTTCCCTTATTAAATTTAGAGAACACCCAAAACCCCTTTACAGCTTAGTGAGTTATGCATTTAAGGAAAAAAACAGGTGTACAGCAAACCCAGGCTTTAACTCATGTCAGGAGGCTTATCACTGCCCGTTTCCCAACTCCGTGCCCTTCCTTAGAGAGAAGCTCACGGGGTGTGACCACACCCGTCAGAGGCTCCTGGGGTTTCTAGGGAGTTTCAACCTCATATCTATTTTTATGCCCAGAAAAGAGATTGAGGAGTGCAGGGAAGATTCTTCTAGGGCACTGAAGGGTTTTCCTTTGTCCAGTGACCGAGGGGAGAGCAATGCAAAGGAGAAGTTAATGTAGAATTTCTGCTTCCCACGTATCCTCACTGGCTTCCAGAACATAACCCTCAGCTTTGGGAACAGTGACTTCAGACACATTCAGCCCAATATTGTGCTAGTTGCTTTTCATAATGTTATCTCATTTCATCCTCACAACCACTCTATGAGTAGGTCTTACTATTATCACCCCCATTTTACAGATGCGGACCCAGAGGCAGAGGAAGGGGAAGTACTTTGCCAGAGGTCACACACTCCTCGGTGGCTGACTGCCTGGCTGCGGGGCCTGTGCTTTTAACCACTGTGCTCACTACCATCACTCTTGTCACTCACTCCGTACCTGTCTTCCTCATCAGCCTGCACCTTCTATACGATCTTAGATCCATTCTGACTTGTCACAGCACACCCGGCCTAGCACATGGGAGGCACCACATAAATATCTGTTGAGTGAAAGTAAAAAGATAATCAATTAAATTATGGCAAAATCTCTGAAGAGTTCTGGTTAACCAACTGTCATTGGTCTTACGTTCTCCTTGGTAGGGCAGGGTAGGGGGTATGGGAAGTGAGAATGAACTTTGGGCTCAATTTGGAGCTGGAGAGACGAGGCATCCGTAGAGCCACTAAGATGGCCTACAGCTTGAGCACTGCATTGTGTGGCCGTTATTTCACAATAAGAAGTCCCAGTGCCTCAGAAGGAATCTCTCATTTCTTCCTGGGTGATTTAGAACTTTTTACATCCAGCTGTTCTTCCTTTGCTGGAATCCATCTGCAGCAGAGGGACAAAGACCGAGAGCAAGTTATATGCAGGCTGTCATACTTCTGAACTGCCACAAGATGGGGATATTTTAAAACTTTACTCATTTTCTGATAATTAATTTTTTTGGGGGGGCCTAATGGTGATGGAACCTCAGTGTCCCATGCAGTACACTGGAACTCAAAAAATAAATAAAATAAAAAATCATTGTGGTTTTGCTGTTGGAAATTTGTCTCATGTGACATTACCAAAGGGAAATGGATATTAAAGCAAGAGGATTAAAAGTTGTTGGTTTGTAATTATTATGTGCTGCATTTGAAAATAAGCTTGTAGTGTAAAATGGAAAAATTATTTGAACAAAAACTCAGTGTTTTAAATGAGTGTGCAGCCTCCTTCTCTTATTTCTAAAGTTCTCAAAGTTGAACCAATATGAGCCTTCTCAGGATGCACCATCACCTTGACCTTTGGTGCCACTGTAGAAATTCAGCTGCAAATGGTGCATATTGAGGGCTGCGATTACCAAATTTTCTACATTATTTCTGTCCCTCAGGCAAATAACAGGTGTCCTGGCACAGAAATTAAAATTGCATTTAAAGTTACAGAAGTTCAAATTGCATTTGGTGTCATAGGGTAGAGAGGTTTAAGTTAAGCCTGTGTTCTAGCTGATGTGCAAAACAGCCCATTTGCAAGGAAATTTATTGCCAAAAGATGGTGAGCTTGGCTACAATGTGGGATGCTTTAATGCTCTCAGAAGGTCTTGTCGAGGGAAGCAATAGATAAAGAAAGGAAGGATAAGGATAGGGAGAGTCTGACCAGATCAGAGAGAGGAAGGACTGGCAGGCACCACAGGAAGACCAGCACCGGCTTTCCTTTGTCACCCTGTCATTCGCTGTTGAGCCCTGAGATTGCAGGTTCTGCACTAGGGAATTAAATGGCTCCCACTTTCTCTCAGGTGTTGTATGCACAGGCACGTGAGCCAGTTTCAGCAGAGAACATTCCATAAGCCACGGCAAGTGCCTGAGTTCAATTCTTTTTTCTCCCCAAATTATAAGAGAAAGCTTATTTAGAAAATGAGAGCTAGTAGAAGTTAGCCAGCTCCGCTGCATAGGCTCAGGGAAAAGTGACAGAAGCAAAAGAAGGGCCCGTGGAGCTCAGGGGAGAGAAAGGAAAGGTAAAGCGCTTGGGGGAAGAAGCGGGGGAAGGGAAGGTGCGGGTGTGCTCCGAGAGGGAGAGCAGTATTGCCTGTTGGCTGGGATGCCCCAGCAACCACCCCGCTCCTTCCACTCAGGTGGGACTGTACAGGTGTGACATCCTAATTCCTTTCACCCCAGCTCACGGAATCCTGGCGTGTCCAAGATTTAACAAGAGAACAGACGTGAGATCAAGTAACTTGCCCAAGAAGCATCCCCAGTACAAAGCTCTTTGCCCACATTTTCCTGCCCAACTCACCAAACAGTGCCCTTTTTCTGAGTCCATTTCAAGGCCTCATCTTTAAAGGCCTAGCATGTTTATTGTCAAAATCTATGTATCTCAACGACACACTGTACATACTCTATGTATCTCAAGTACCTATGTACTCTCTGGTGTTGCTCACTGTTGCTTTCTGTATCTGCCTTGACTCCCTACAAGAACACAGGGCCAGCCCGGCAAGTATGGATCAGATGGTATTGAGCGTCAACCTATGAACCAGGAGGTCACAGTTGGATTTCCAGTCAGGGCACATGCCCAGGTTGCGGGCTTGATCCCTAGTGTGGGCATGCAGGAGACAGCGGATCAATGATTCTCTCTCATCATTGATGTTTCTATCTCTCTCTTCCTCTCTGAAATCAATAAAAACTTATTGGAAAAAAAAGAACACAGGGCCATATCTTATACACCAGGACTTCTCAAATTTTAATGTGCACACAGATCATCTGAGGATCTGGTTAAAATGGAGAGTCTGACTCAGAAGGCCTGTGATGGGGGTCTGAGACGGCATTTCTAACACCTTCCCTCGTAGTAAATTTTAATGTGCACACAGATCATCTGGGGATCTGGTTAAAATGGAGAGTCTGACTCAGAAGGCCTGTGATGGGGGTCTGAGACAGCATTTCTAACACCTTCCCTCGTAGTGGTGCTGCTGCTGCTATCCCAGCACAATACTCAGCAATTGATTGCTGCTGTCCCTCAGAAACGTTGCAGGAGTCCATTTGATCTGGTTTTCCTGTCTGCAATGTGGTAAAGGGTAATGATAATGTGTCTTTGTTATGGGGAGACAGTGTAGTGTGGCAGGTTAAAGCTCAGGCTTTGAGCCACTCAAAGTAAAAAGCTAACATTTATCAAGTACTTACTACATGTTGGGCACTGTGATGAGCACTTTATATGCATTACTGGATTTAATCTTTCGGGGGAAAAAGTTAAGTAAAAATAAAATCAATTTATTATGTTTGGGTTTTAAAAAAATAAGTTATCAATTTTTTTAAATTGATTTCAGAGAGGAAGGGAGAGGAGAGAGAGAGGTAGAAGCATCAATGATGAGAGAGAATCATTGATTGGCTGCCTCCTGCATACCCCACACTGGGGATCGAGCCTGCAACCTGGGCATGTGCCCTTGACCTGAATTGAACCTGGGAGTCTTTAGTCCACAGGTCGATGCTCTATTCACTGAGCCAAACCAGCTAGGGCAGTTATCAATTTCTTAAGTCAAATTCTGCCTGTTTCTTTCTGTAGGACTACAGAGCTTCTATAGATTTTTGAATTAGTGCTCCTTTAAGTAAACCTCTTGCTAGGATTTTTATATCAGCTGATAGTTTAAAAACCATGTCTGATTTTTCACAATAACTACTGTTTTATGCCTTATACAAGTGTGTGGAAAGTGTTTCAAAAGAATTTGAAACAACTAAAAAAAAAGTGTGCTTAACTTGCATAACTCAGATAAATGAATTATGAACTTATGAACTTATTAGTATAAAGTAATAATTCTTATTTCTGGGTTCGGTCAAAGCAAAAATTCATTTGTCTTTGGAATACAAACTATAGCTAGTAAGCATTATGTTGATTAAAAATTTATTTTTATTCTCAAAAGGAAAACTCATACTTCTGACCCATTTTTTCTTAAGAGGAATGTGTGTGTTTGCAAATACATATGTGTATGCATGTGTCTTCATTAAAGTACTATTACTCCCATTTTAAAGGTGAGAAAACTGAGGCCCCATGAGAGCAAATGACTTGCTCACTTTTGCACTGCTATGAGGGCTGATCCAGATATAAATCCAATTCTATCTGTTTCCAAAGCCCACATTATTTATATATATTTTTTTATTTTATTTATTCTTTTAATCTTCACCCAGTGATATTTTTCCATTGCTTTTTAGAGAGAGGGGAAGAGAGAGGAAAAGAAAGAGAGAAATATTGATGTGAGAGAAACACATCAATTGGTTGCCTCCTGACCTGGGGAGGAGTCTGCAAATGAGGTATATGCCATTGACCGGAATTGAACCTAGGACCCTTCAGTCCACAGGCCAATGCTCTATCCACTGAGCCGAACTGGCTAGGGCTATTTTTTTAAACATTTTATTTTGAAAAATTAAAAACCTACAAAAAAGTTTCAAGAATGGTACAATGAACAATCACATAATACCTTTCCTCTAGATTCACTGGTTGTTACCATTTGCAAAGCCCACATTCTTAACCATTCTACCATTTATTAGGCATATCATGATCTTAGGATATTATACAACCCCTGTGTTTAATTTCTTAATCCGTAAGTGGGTAAGATATCTATATTGAGGGTTTTAAAAATGAAGATTAAGTGAATAATATAATTATCCTTCCAGCAAATGTTTATTGAGCCCCTCCCATCCTGGGATGAATACAAAGCACTGTTCTAAGCCAGGACTAAGCAAACTAACACTATCCCGTCCGTCTGTGCCCTCTCAGAGCTCTGAGTCAGAGGTGGGGGGACTGACAGTAAAGGACACACGAGGGAGTTTCAGGTGGCAAAACATTGGGAGGAGACAGTGCTTTTGGACAGAGCAGTTGGAAGGCATCCTGCAGGAAGTGACCTCGGCCTGAAGCCTGGCCCATGAGAGGGAGTGAACCGTGCATAAACAGGGGCAGAGGGGCCCCGCCTGTCTAATGTGTGTGCCAAACATCTTTGTCCAGCAAGAAAGGGAGACTGTGAAGTCCCCGTTTGTGGAGAGTGTTGTTAGAAGAGAGCACACGCTATCCGATAGATAGACTGTCATAATCTCACAAAGGAAAGGCCAGGCCAGTAGGTTTTCCAGAGTCTGTTCCAGCTTCGCACACACCTACAGCCCGTCTTCATAAGGTGCCAATTTTTATCAAAGTGCCTGGCTTCCTTAGCAATTATTTCCTGTTAAGCATGTGAGTTTTAACACATTAACCCCTTCCCCGGCAGAAACGTGTATACACGTTTTCACAAAATGTTCTTTTTTCAGTCGTCGACGAGTATACTCGTCTAAAACTTTACCTTCAAAAACCAGCTACATACATACCATTCTAAATAATTTCATCTAGAAACTTTCTGAGGAAATACTATTCTTAACCACAAAAATGGGAAGAAAAAATAATTACAAACTGTTTTCATAACCAGCATCAAAGATACTATATAGAACCAAAATAAAAAAATCAGTCTGAAAAAGAAACGTTTTTAACAAAAAAATTGTTGGGGAAGGGGTTAAGAAAGAGTGAGGTCAAACAGAGCAGGGACCAGCCGAGAAAGCTGTAGGTAAGAAATCTGAGCCAGGCCTTGCCGGCGTAGAAATTGGATGAAGACATGCATCAAAAAATTGCAAGGGAAATGAACCTCTCCGAAACCGCCTTTATCCGAAAACTGAACCCAAGTGACAGCTTCTCACAAAGTAAGTAAGCTTTCTGGCTTTTCTTTATTTCTCAACTATTTATTAATTAATTTGATTGGGGTGACATTGATGAACATGAACATATAGGCTTGAGGTGTGGGTTTCTATGTTACAGATCTGTATATTGCACCAGGTGCCCACCACCCAAAGTCAAATCTTCTCCTGTCGCCTTAAATAAGAATTCTAAAAAAACATTCTTTATGGTCGGAGAAGCTGCTTTTCCAGGGGGAGGGTGATATTTAAGGGAAATGCCCATTTGCTATTTGCATGCAGATAGGAGAGCGAGGGGGGGAGATTCTGATTTGGTTCTCAGTTAATCTGGGGGTGTGGAGTTGGTTGATTTGAATGTTTCAGCCGGACCTAGCACCAAGGAACCCGGTGCCAATTTTTATCAAAGTGCCTGGCTTCCTTGGCAATTATTTCCTGTTAAACATGTGAGTTTTAACACATTAATAAACTGTGTTATTAACGAATGGCAGTCGCTGTCCCAGAAAGCCTGATTTGTGTTTCTCTAGAGTCTCAATAACCTTTTGTTTCTAATTTAGAAATTGGATGAAGACATGCATCAAAAAATTGCAAGGGAAATGAACCTCTCCGAAACCGCCTTTATCCGAAAACTGAACCCAAGTGACAGCTTCTCACAAAGTAAGTAAGCTTTCTGGCTTTTCTTTATTTCTCAACTATTTATTAATTAATTTGATTGGGGTGACATTGATGAACATGAACATATAGGCTTGAGGTGTGGGTTTCTATGTTACAGATCTGTATATTGCACCAGGTGCCCACCACCCAAAGTCAAATCTTCTCCTGTCGCCTTAAATAAGAATTCTAAAAAAACATTCTTTATGGTCGGAGAAGCTGCTTTTCCAGGGGGAGGGAGCTATTTAAA